CCACTTGCAAGGCAGGCAGCGGACCTGCTGAGCTTAAATCCCCAGCCTGGATTTTTGGTTTTTGTTTTGTTTTTTGTCTAATCCTGGAGATGTGTGAAATCACTAGCCTACTTTCAACCAGTTTTAGGGTTTAAATTTATACTATCTGTGTGGTATGGCCCAAGAACCCTCAACCTAAGAAATGAATTTTAGCTATGAATCCTAGACTGACTACCTCTAGGGCACCTTACAAATGCAAGCTCTTCAGGAACAACACATGAAGGGCTTCCCACTTAGAAAGGCCTGCCAGTCTTAAGGGCAGAGTTCAAAATTTAGAGGTTCATAGCATAAAATCCTTCATGAGCAAAAGTAAGCAAATAACAAAATTACAATATTTATTTTAGGTATTGATGCATTAAGGTTGCCTGTGCTTCTTCAGACTGAAAATTCCAGAAAAGGACAGAATTGTTGACTAAAATGTAACAAGTATCTTGAAGGGGTTAAGTATATTTAAAATGAATCAAAATCATAAGAAAAGAATAAAAGTTTGTCAATAAACAATGATGTAAAAAGTGTTTAAGAAGGGCAGGGGACTGGATAAAGAAGATGTGGTTTTTCTATAAAATGGAATACTCAGCCATAAAGAATGAGAAATTAGAGTCATTCATAGGAAAATGGATACATATTGAGGATATACTCTTAAGTGAAATAAATGACACGTGTAAATACTGAATAGTCTCTCTGGTGTGAAAAACTATAATAGTACTCAAGATCCTAATGGGATAATTAACAATGTGAAATAGGAAGAAAAGGGCTAAAGGTGTGGGGAAAGTGGGAAGGGTAGCTGAAAGGGAACAAGGGAAAAGAAAAAAATATGAGAAAATGAAAAAATGGAAATCAAATAGTTGTAAATGGGGAGAGGGGGGAGAGGGTGAAGGGAGGGCAGGGACAAGGGGAAAAAATGAGAACCAAGACCTGTCATGTGAAGTTACAGGATCCCAGTAATGAATGTAACTGTATTGTATACCTAGATTGTACCAATAAACTCAATAAAAAGAAAAAAAGAAGGGCAGGGGATTTAGCTCAGTGGCATTGCTCCTGCCTCCCAAGAGCAAGTTCCTGAGTTCGATCCCTGGCACCAGAAAAAAAGTGTTTAGGAAAAAAAGGCTTCAGATGAGGAAAAAAAAAGAAAAAGGCATAATTGACTCTAAATATCTACATTGATACATAATATTAATAGCTTGAAATATTCCAGATTGTAAACAATGATTATCTCCAACGGGTGGGGCTGCGAATGATTATTTATTTATTTATTTTTATTCCTTTATTTATTTATTTATTTATTTTGATACCGGGGATTGAACTCAGGTGCTTGTGCTTGTGAAGACAGTGCCACAACCACTGAGCTTGATCCCCGACCCATGATTTCCTTTTTTATAAAGATTGGCAATTGTATTTTCTAATTTTTTTAAAAAATGACATTTTTACTGTCATAAAAATTAAAGTGTAAAAATAAGTGATTTTAGCCTTGATAATTAGTATAGTGGCTTGTATGCTATTATAACTTAAAGGAGAACATGAATTTTAAAGAGAGTTCCTAAAAAGATAAATAAAAACCAGAATTTCTGATTGAGAACAGTGTATGAACTTTTGGATCTCAGTTCCAGTTCCAGTAAGATCCTGTGTTTAAGACCTTCTCCTGTATGTTTTCGTAGGTGTTTTGCTTTTTAGGGTCATTAGGGCAAAGCACAGGCTGTACCACTATCTCTTCTACGAAGGCAGCCGTGTTTATTCTATTGTGCATATTTGGTAACTTCTGAGTGGTACATGTCTCTCCTTTGTTGTTGGTTTTTTTTTTTTTTTTTTTTTTTTTTTTTTTTTTTTGGTACTGGGGATTGAACTGGGGTCCTTGAGCTTGCGAGGCAGGCAGCAGAACCACTGAGCTAAATCCCTGGCAGTCTCCTTTGTCATATGTTAAGGCTTTGCCCTAGGAGGCTGTAGTCACTCAAATTAAGTTTAAAAATAGCACCAGTCTTAAAGATCAGATTTCTTTTGTTCTCTATTTATAAAGAGCTCACTGTAACTCCTTTGACTGCACAAAGTAGGTTCCTAAAGATGGCTACTGGGTTTGTTTGTTATTTTGCTTTGTATTTCCATTTGCACCAGCTCTGCCTATGGGTGTTATGGACATTCCCAGAATCTACAAAAAAGTATCTGTATTTTCCACTTACATAACAAAATACGCTACATTCCTGAGAGCCTGTTTTAGGTGTTTAAGGGCAAAATGGTTAATGCTAGGCTGCAAGGAGAGTCTGTATTCAGTCTCCTTTGAGTCACATGAACCCTGCTTTGATTCCTAAGGCTCTTGAAGAGATAGTACCTTAAAAAGTACTGGAAAAGCCTAGAACTTGCTTCATTATCTCTTTTTGAGAAACCAATAAGAGGATGTTCTTTTCCACATTTTTCTTTTGGCCTCTGAAAATATTCTTATTAAGCAGCTCAGTATAGGCTTCATCAGTGGTCTTTTCAATGTAGATAAGGTAGGAGTGGGGCAGTAAAAAGAATTAAGATGTGTTATGTACATGTGCCAGCTCCCTACAATGATGTAATCATTACATACGGCATAAAAAAACAGATAAGGACCTAAGGATGTCCACCTTGAAGGTTAGATGTTTGAAAGAAGGGTGCATGGAAAGTAAAATATGTTTCTGGTCTTTTCTAGCCTGAATGAGTTACTGAAGGCATAGTGTTTACTCCCATCTCTAAGATTCTGTGGTTGATGCTGTTATCATTGTACTTGTTTTTCTTTCACTCCACTGCCTGTAAATTCTTGCCTCACAGTATATTGGCAAAGTACCTTGATGTTCAATTCAGTAAATATTTATTACCCTTGAAGTTCAACCCAATAAATATTTATTGAATTGAGCCACTCAACCTGCTAATTACTCAGCATGCAGAGAGGAGAAAGGCAGACCCTGCTTTTGAGGAGTTCATAGTCTTCCCAGGGAGACAGACAAATGAAGAAATGGTACAATAATGCAACCACAGAAGTAGCGGCAAGGTGTTTAGTAGGATGAAAGAGGGGATGAGTGACTACTTATAGCCACCTCACATCCTTTTTAGGGCAAGTCAGAATATAAATAAATAAAGTGAAACAGTAGTAGGAGAGGGATGCAGGAGTAGAGCTCTCAAAAATGGATGCTGTACAACTAAGTGTTGTCTTGTAATGGCTTATTTCTCAAATACAGGTATTTATTTGAACTGAAAGAAGATGATGATGCATGTAAAAAGGCCCAGCAGACAGGAGCCTTTTACCTCTTTCATAGCCTGGCTCCTTTGCTTCAGACAACAGAACATCGATACAGGGTACCCCGGCTTAGCCTACTAGGTAAGCTCAAAGGAGACTGATTTCAGCACATACTGGATGGCTGAGAAATATCCTTGAACTATACAGAATCCAGATTTTTTTTCAAATAGCTGCTGAGTCTCAAGGTTGTATAACTGCTTCTACCAATCGCTAATTTGTTTTCTGAAGCTTAGTTGTCCAGCCAGATATTATTCGGTGATGATATAAGCCACTTATGCCTCAACAAAACTGCTACCCAGATTAGACTTGCTGCTTGCTTTGTAAATATATTTTTATTGGAACACAGCCACACTTATTCGTTGATGTATTATCTATGGCTGCTCTTGCACTAATGGCAGGTAAGCAATTATGACAGAGACGGTATGATTACAAAGCCTAACATAATTAGTATCTCTTTACAGAGAAAGTTTGCCAACTTGTATCTTCAACTAGTGATTTCTAGCCTCCACAGAGGTACATACTGTTATCCTAGAAGAGCATTAGCTTTGCATCCTAACTTGATTTTTACTAGAGGATCAAAATTTAAGGTGAATTAAAATTAATTTATTTTGAGAGCCTTTTTAGAGGTATCTGAGCCACTGGGATTTGGTTTTTTTTGTTTGTTTGTTTTTGAGAAAAGATCTCACTTGTTACCCAGGCTTGTCTCGAGCTCCTAGGCTCAAGCAATCCTCCTGCCTGAGAATCCTGAATATTTGGGACAACAGCTTATGCCATCACACCTGGCTGGAATTTGCTATTCAAATCATTAACTTTTAGTTTTATATTAATATATAAATATAGCATAAAATATAGTTAGTCACTATATACTTCTAAATACATTGACGGTGGATTTTTCTCTTAGGTCAGATTTGGGAGTATTTGGATAATTAGTTTCCAGCAATGCAGAATCATACAAAGACTCTGTTAGAAGGCAAACATTATTTAGAGATTTAATAATGTTAAGTTATGGGCCGGGGGTTTAGCTCAGTGGTTCCACCGCCTGCTCATAAGCACAAGGTCCTGAGTTCAATCCCTGGTACAAAAAAAATTTTTTTTAAAGATATGAACAAGTAAATGAGTCCTTCATGGATAGGACAGGCTTTCTCCCGATATAGCATTTACTGTTTAAAGACCAGGATCTCAGATAACTATTCCACTTTGGTCCAGCAAAGCAACAGTCTGGAAGTTAATTATAGAAATGAATTGGTCTCTAACAATTTAAATTTAATATGTATTTTCTCAATGCTTTAATAAGTTAACTATTGTGCATCTTTTGAACAAGGGACTATATCCCTTCCAACATGGAATTATAGAGTAATCAATTACACAGATAGAATTTGATGCCTAGAGAGACCAAGTGACTAGACTTATGTTATCCAGCTAATTAGGTGCAGGGCAGTTTATACCTTAAGCCAGGGGGGTGAAACCTTTGGCACACGTGCCACAGCAGGCTATCTCTATCATTGAAAGCTCTAAAAGGTTGGCTATCACTGCCTTAAGCAAGTATAGCTGGCCTCCATATCCTCAGGTTCAACCAACTGCAAATCAAAAGTATTTGGAAAAATGTGTCTGTACTGAGCATGTACAGACTTTTTTCCTTGCCACCATCTGTAAAGAATAGTGTAACAACTATTTACATAGGATATGCATTGTATTAGATATTCTAAGTAATCTAGAAATGAATTAAAGTATATGGGAGGGGGCTGGGGATTTAGCTCAGAGGTTCCGCTGCCTACCTTGCAAGAGCACAGACCCAAGTTTTATCCCTGGTACCAAAAAACCCCAAAAAGTATATGGGAGTATGTACGTAGGTTGTATACAAATATACCATTTTATATAAGGGACTTTAGCATCTGGCTTTTTTTTTTTTTTTCCTTTTCTTTTTTTGTACCAGGGATTGAACTCTCACGACCTTGCACTTGCAAGGCAGCTTCTGGCTATTTTGATGTCTGAGAGGCAAGAAGTCCCACACAGATAATGTGAGGCGACTGACTACTTGCTTTAAACTGAAGTAGATCATTTCTTGTAAGTCTAATGTGGCTGTGGTGATATAACTGAAATCTTTATTCCCTTTCTTCTTGTTTCTTAAGAGGTAGAAAGACTCCTGGACAAGTTTGGCCAGGACGCACAAAGAATAGAAGACTCTGTGCTGATTGGATGTTCTGAACGGCATGAAGCATGGTTTGCCCTGGATTTAGGTCTCAATAGCTCCTCTTCCACACATGGTATATATATATATATCATCATCATCATTTAAATGGAGAGCAGTGGTTCTCAGACCTTGGGTTTCACATAATATTTCTAAGAAAATCGTGAGAATTGAAAAAGTTACAACTTTTTAAAAAAAAGAACATAACACTATCATCTGCTACCATCATTTAAAATAAAGGGTATCTTAATGCTTTCTTTCTAACCTAGGTAGTGGTATTATTCTCCAAACCATTATACATTTTTTAGATCTTAAGTATTTCATAAGAAATTGACATTATTCTTCTTTCTCTTACCAATGCAGGGAAATGAATAGCTCTGGGTCCTCAAATCTGCATTTGAGAATCACTTCACTCTAGATTCATGGGTCCTCTTAGACTTTCCTTTATCCTTTAAGGTGTGTGGGTATAAATGCAATGATGCTAGAATGGGCTTCAAATAGGAGTTTAGAGGTCCCATTTCATCTCTTTTTCAGGGATAGTGTGTGGTGAATGCAAATGGTCTGACTTCCCTGAGGATCTTGAGAAATACTGCTCCAATGTTTCCCAAACTTGCCTGACTATAAGAATCACCTGGTACTTCTTTTAAAAAGAAAGATTTCTAGGGCTTACTCCACACCTGCTGCTTCAGAATATACAGGCAGGGGCTTAAGGACCTGTATAGTTTTTCCTTTCTTCAGCTGACTCTTTTATTAGGCAAGTTTGGGAAACAAGTTCTATATAACAAGATAGATTGGAGGGGGCCCAGAGACACAGTTTGACATTTGTTTAATTTCTCTTTTCTAATTTTCTAGCCTCCTTACCAAAATCAGAAATGGAGACAGAGCTCAAGGGGTCTTTCACTGAGCTGAGGAAGGCTATCTTTCAGCTGAATTCAATGGATTCCTCCTTGCTATTCACGGTAGATTCGAATTTCTCAATTGGACAGGAAGTTTAATAAAGTTGTATATATGGGCAAATCCATAGGTGCATACACAAGACTAGAGTGACATTTAATTACTTTCTTTGCAAATCATAGTCCTTCCTAAGACCTCAACAGAAGGACAATGAGCTGTAGGAAGCTTTCTTATTCTACCTTGTTTTGATCTTATTTTGGCAGAATTGCTGTCAAAACTATTTTCTCCTAAGGACATGCAGGTCTATGGCAATAGGCATGATCATCAACCTAATAAACATTTTTAATGACATAATCATGTTTTTTGTTTGTTTTTGAGACAGGGTCTTACTATCTAGTTGAGACTGATCTAGAACTCACTATGTAGCCCAGGCTGCTCTCGAACTCCTGCCTCAGCTTCCTGAGTGCTGGGATTACAGGCGTGCACCACCACGCCCAGCTTTCATGTTTTTCATATAAGAAAAAACTTTACTTTGCATTAATGATCCTTAAACTTTAGATTTTACTTAGTATGGTATTTTGATTGTCTATTGAAAGAGACACTTCTAAAAACTTTTTAGTTGCAAAAAGATTCTAGCTATATTACAGAAGAATACATTGGTTGTATTGGAAATGTTTTCTTTTCTTTTTTCAGCACTGGGGATTGAACTCAGGGCCTTACACTTGTGAGGCAGGCACAGTACCACCAAGCTGAATAAATCCCCAGCCCTGGAAATGTTTTCTTTTTAAATTGGGTTATAAGTACATGGGTGTTTATCATGTTACTTTATATATTTCTTGTATTTTTAAAGGATTCATTCCAATGCTAAGGGAATGTTCATATAGTTTCCTTACCTTAAACAGTAACCATTTAAAGGTAAATGAGTTGGAAAGATTTTGGCTTTTCTTCATGAGTTGCTCTAGATTCTAGGCCTAGTGTTATTATGGATAAGCCCATGTTTTCTCCAAATAAAACCAGGTCTGTCTTTGTTTTTATTTTTAATTTAAAACTTTTTGTTATTGAATACAATCCCATTTGTTGATTGGATTTGTTTGGCTTTGTTTTTCTAAAATAATCTTTATTTTATTCCTCTCCCCAAACCCTCTCCACTCCTTGTATACAAAAGATTTGTTTTTTCCATCTATTTTCACTTTTTTCTTGTCCCTTCCTTCCTTTCTCCTTTACTCTTCCCTTGTTCCCCTTCCCATGTGAACACTTTCTTCCTATTTCCTAACATCCATTATTTGTTTCAGTCCTTATTTCCACTTTTGGTTTCTCACACCAGAGAAACAATGCAGTATTTAAACATGTGTGTCCAATTTATTTCACTTAGGAGTATGGTCTCAAGATCGATCCATTTAGCCATAAATGCCCATCCTTCTTTATGGCAGAATAGTACTCCATTGTATAAAAAACCCCATTTTCTCATCAATTGATGGACATTTGGGCTGTTTCCAAGATTTAGCTATTACAAACTGCTGCTATAAACATGGGTGTGCATATATTGCCATGGTATGATGCTTTTAATTCTTTTGGGAAGATACCAAAAAGATGTATAGATGGGTCAAATGGAACCTCTACATTTAGTTCTTTGAGAAATCTCCACACTGATTTCCACAGTGGTTACACTAGTCTACATTTTCACCAGCAGTGGAGAAGGGTTCCTTTTTCTCCAGAGCCTCTCCAGCAGCATTTGTTATTGGTTGATTTCTTGATAGCAGCCATTCTTTCTGGAGTGAAGTGGGATCTCAGTGTTGTTTTAATTTGCATTTCATGAACGCAGGTCCATCTTTGTTTTCCTAGGCCCAGGCTCTTCTCCGATGGCATGATGGTCACCAGTTCTGCAGCAGAAGTGGGCAGCCCACCAAGAAAAATATTGCGGGTAGCAAGCGTGTGTGTCCTTCCAATAACATCATCTATTACCCACAGGTAAGAGTTGCTGTAAGAGGACAGTATTCTGAAAGGCTGTGCTTGTATGTCCTGGGGAAGGAAGTCTGCATAATTGAAAGGCTTCCTTAATTATCCATTGCTCCTGTCCACTGGGAGGCTCCAGCGACGGCATCTCAATTTCCATCCTCCTTCCCCAGATGGCTCCTGTTGTGATTACTCTGGTGTCAGATGGGACCCGATGCCTGCTTGCACGCCAGAGCTCCTTTCCCAAGGGAGTATATTCTGCCTTGGCAGGCTTTTGTGATATAGGTAAGTATTATAGGATATATACAGGTGGGAGTGGAGGGCAGAAAATCTATAGCAGGTATTGCTCTGTCTTGTTGCCAGTGTTTGACATCTCAAGCACATTCTTTCCTCATTCTGCATTCTGATTTCCCCATATTATATTAGGTAAAATTTCAAACATAGTTAGAATTATGCATAACCCCATCACACCACCACTTAGATTCTATCATTTTTACACTAACTTGATCATGTATTTTTCATCTACTCTTCATCTTTTCTGAAGTACAGATTGCAAATAGTATACTTCTGAATATTTCAGCATGCATAATACTAAAATTCCATATTTAGTTTTTTTGTTTTGATTTTTTTTAGTTTATTGAGTTAAATCTACAAATGATGAAAAGAGAAATTTTATTACAGCTAAGGGTAGCAGTACACTTTCCCACTTCTTATGCTTTATAACTAACCCAGTAGGCTTAAGCACTCATTTCAATGTCCAACTCTACATTTGAATCCTATTGTTGGAGACTCAGATTTAGGACACCCCAAGTTTTGTACTCCTTTCACAAATGGGTTATTGTGACACAGATACAACCTTTCTGCTTCCTGGCTGTCCTAAATTAATCTGAGTGCTTACAGGGGAAAGTGTGGAAGAGGCTGTTCAGCGGGAAGTTGCAGAAGAGGTGGGACTAGAGGTGGAAAGCATGCAATACTCTGCATCTCAGCACTGGCCCTTTCCTAACAGCTCACTCATGATTGCTTGTCATGCAACTGTAAAACCAGGGCAGACAGAGGTAAGTGTTCACGCTTCCCTTCTGCTGGGATACTTCCTTTGCTGTGTCCAGTTTACTGGCTAGCACGAACTTCCTTGACACCCGTCTAGTTCAGCGTTGTCTAGACTACCATGATGAAGGAATTTACATTCTAGTAATCACCATTCTCCCTTACATTTTATCTCAATCTTAAGACAATTTCTTTTTACTTTTTAACCATTTTATTGAATTAAAATTAACATATAAAAGCTATAGTTAATGTATACATACAACTTGATGGATTTAGAGATTAGTACATAGCCATGAAACCATCCATTGATCATCATTATCAATATCCTGAATTTATCACTTTCAGAAGTTTTCTTTTGTGCCCTCTTTTTTTCTTTTGTGCTAGGAACGTAAGGTTTATCTTCATAGGGGGCCAGGGATTTAGCTTAGTGGTTCCGTAGACTGCCTAGCAGGGACAAGGTCCTGAGTTTGATCTCCATACCAAAAAAAAAAAAAAAAATCTTTGTAGTAAATTTTAATACATTAACACAGTATTATTAATTATAGGCCCTATGTTATACAGGTCTCCAGAACTTATTCTGTGTAAGTGAAACATTATATTCTTTGACCAGTACCCCCTTGTTTCTTTTCAGATTCCACATGTAAGTGGGATCATGCAGAATTTGTCTTTCTGTATCTGACTTATCTCACATAGCATGTCTTCCAATACAGTCTGTCACAAATGCAGGATTGTCTTTTTAAAGACTCAATATTCCACATGTATCATGATTTATTCATTTATCGATGGACGTTTAGGTAGTTTCCATATCTTAGCTGTTGTGAATAATGCTGCCTCGAACACAGCAGTACAGATATTCCTCTGAGATCCAGATTTCAATTCATTTGGATATATATACGCAGAAGGGGGATTGTGGGATCAGATGGTAATTCCATTTTTTAAATTTTAGGGCCCTCCATATTGCTTAGTAGCTACATACTTACATTTCCCCCAACAGTGTATAAGGTTCCCTTTTCTTCATACCCTTGCCAACATTTGTGATCCCTCCCCCTTTTTAATAATAACCATCCTGGAAGGTATGAGGTAATTACCTGATTGTGAGTTTTTTTGGGGGAGTACCGGGGATCAAACTCAGGAACTTGCACTTGCGAAGCAGGCAGAACCACTGAGCTAAATCCCCAACCCATGATTGTGGCTTTGATTAGCACTGTTGAACATAGTTTCATGTGTCTACTGGTTAGCTGTATTTTCTTGAGAAGTGTTTATAGAAGTGTTTTGCACTTTCAAATGGATTATTTACTATTGAGTTGTAGGAGTTCTTTACATTAATCCCTTATAGATATATATGGTCTTCAAATATTTTCTTTCTGTAGAATGCCTTTTCATTTTGTTTCCTTTCCTTTTTAGTTTGATGTGATCCTATTTTTTATTTTAATTGCCTGTGATTTGGGTGCCATATCTAAAAAAATCATCGCTCGGTCCAGTGTCTAGAAGTTCACTCCCTGTTTTCCTCTAAAATGTTTATGATTTAAAGTCTTAAGTATTTAATCCATTTTGAGTTATTTCTTGGTATATGGTATGAGTCCAATTGTATTTATTTGTATATGGATATGCAACTGTCCCAACACCATTTATAAGGCAATTTATCTTTCACCTTCAGAATCTTACATATAGTAAGTATAGAGTACATATATAAAATGTAATGGCCAACTTTGGATTGGTTTCATTAAGTTAATCAAGGGTGTTGGGGACTAATAATGTTACAATTACTGGAACTTCTGGTTTCAAGGGACTTTACATGTTATCTTCTCTAATCTCATCTTGCTCTTCTGTAGCATCTCTGACAGATAATATTGTAGTCCCTGTCTGCCAATGTCTGCCTATTGTGTGTATTGGCTTTATAGGATATCTAATCTATTTCAACTTACTATGGACAAAGTTTGCATTACTTAGCGTTTTGATTATTGATAACTCTCATTCTTAAAGTAGGTTTTTTAATTCAGTTATATAATCAATAGAAACACAAAAAAGACAAGTATTTTCAAAATTTACCATTCAGTAAATTTTTTTTTTTTGTAATTTTTTTTGGTACGGGGGATCAAACTCAGGTCCTTGCTCTTGCAAAGCAGGCACCAGAACCACTGAGCTAAATCCCCAGCCTCAATGTCACTACTCTTAATGTTTTAATATTTGTACTTCCACATTTTATTATTTTGGAGTGGTTTTGGTGTCGGAACTCAGGGCCTCATGCGTTGCTAAACCCATTCTGTACCAATGAGCTACATCCCTTGTGCTCCTAGGACTATTTATCACTATGTAAAAAAATGCATTTAATTCTTCTTAGTTATGCTTTTTTTGTTTCTGAGATATATCTAGAACTAATTTTCAATCATCTTTAAAGCCCAGGTGTTATTCCTTAGACTACTAGGTTCTATAACAATATTCTTACCTTTGACCATAGTATTTTACATTTTATAGTTTCTAATTGTACATTCTTGTATTCTTTCTTTCAGATCCATGTGAACTTCAGGGAACTAGAGGCAGCTGCCTGGTTTAGTTATGATGAGGTCGCCACAGCACTGAGGAGAAAGGGGCCCTATATTCAGCAACAGAATGAGACTTTCCAGTTCTCAGTACCCCCCAAGTTAGCCATTGCCCACCAACTGATTAAGGAGTGGGTGGAAAAACAGACATGAGCTTCCTTGCCTGCTTAGCTGCTCTCCTGGATGTTGCCAAAGGACATACTGGAGACGCACTGTGAAGGGGAGGTGACAAAAGGACTAACTCCAAGCCAGACATGTTGGCAGATGCCTGTAAACTTAGTTTGTGACCCAGAGGAAAGACTATGACTTTACCATGCTTTTCCTAAACAAAATAGTCATGACATTTGCACACCCGGAAAATGTTGATTAACCTCAATTAAAGATCAGGACCATTTCTTGAACCTATGGGATAAACTAAATCTCCTTTTGATCCCAAAAGTTCAACGCTATCTTCATCACCAGAGAGCCATCATTGCCATGGGGAAATAAAAGTGCCTTCAGCTAGAATCTTTGAGATAATATGAGCTAGGACTTGACTGTCCTTTTAGTTTGGCAGCCTGCCTTTACCTGGAGTGAACTCTGCATTTAGAAGGAAAACACATTCACGAAAAAGAGGGCCTGCCTGAGATTTCTTCATATCTTGCAGTCAGAAGAAAACAGTTCAGGGTCCATGTGTATTACTGTCTCCCAATCGTTTCTGTCTCTGTGGTGTGTTTGTGAGCACATGTGTACACATCCCTAGTCTGAAAATACTGATAGAAGGGGGAAGGAGTGCAGAGTTCCTGGTTATGAATTTCTCAAACTTACCATGGAGTAACTGTTTGCTTTTTGATTAATGTGTTTTTTGGAAAAGCAAAATGAGAATGACTAATAGAAGCTGCAACATTGAAGTTTGTTTTCCCAGCACCAGCACTAAGAGGGCATTGTTATACAATATGTGAAAGCCGATGCAGAACAAGGGAGGGTTGTTGTACTAAAAATGGCAGACAACTCATGCAGGGCTACCTGAGTAGAGGACATATATATGGCAAAGAATTACAAAGGCGCTATATATGGACAAATAGAACCTAGCTGAGACTATGATGCAGACTAGCAAAAACAAGCAATACCATGGATCTTGACAGATGATTGTACTTCTATTGTTTTTACTTTCATAAGCAAGATATAGTAAGGGAATCTTTTTGCTAATAGCAGGAAAGAAAAAAATCAAGAGATACTATAAAAACATGGTCAGTATATGGAGCTGTTTATAGATAAGATTTGATTCGTTTCAGGAGAAAATGAAGATCATATGAAATAACCACTGTTCCTAGTAACAGAGTTGTTAGTTGTATTAAATATCAAATCACAATTTAAACTAGAATCACTGTATGAAATATCCAAAACAGGCAAATCCATAGAGACAGAAAGTAGGTTAATGGTCTCTAAGGAGCTGATAAGAAGAGACAGGGATGATCATTAAGGAGTACAGGATTTCTCTGTGGGGTGATGAAAATACTGTGGAAGCAGATAGTGGTGACGGCTGCATCGTTCTGTAAATACACTAAAAACTGGAATTGTACACTTGAAAGAAAAATTTTTGGTATGTGATTATGTTAAAATAGAGCTGTTTAAAAAGTAAGTTCTTGAGCTGGGGATTTAGCTCAGTGGTTCTGCCTCCTGCCTCGCAAGCTCAAGGACCCGAGTTCGATCCCTGGTACCCCCCACAAATAAAGTAAGTTCTTTATCTTGATTTAGGAGTATACAAGCAAAAACTCACTGATCGTACACTTCAGTTCTGTACATTTTATGCCTCATTTAAAAAGTTCAGGAAAAAAACCAGAATAAGCTAGAATTTTGCCAACCTGGAATTTTGTATTATAGATAAATGCACATAAGGGAGAAATTATATATTCAGAATTACACCAACGGAGCACTGTGTGGTATTTTCTTAACATAGAATGTATAAATCTCAACTCAGAAGCTGTTCTGTGGCTTGATCCTATCTTGCTGATTTCAGAACCTCATGTCTACCTGAGTTAAGATCACAAAGAACTGTACAGAGGACAAGATTCTGGACATGGGAGAAAACACCCTGTGCAACTTGCAATGAAGAAACATTTTTACTGCATGAGTAAACTAGAAATGAATACAGTCAGACTCATCGTTTATTTAAAGAGAAAAACAAAGCTAGATACATCAGCTAACCTTTCACTGGCTTACTTGTAACTGTGATCCCTGTTGTCAGGCAGCTGCACGCCCATGCTCTGTAAGAGGTTTGAGGCAGGCCCTGCCAGACCAGCTTGGGAGCTGTAGGATTCCAATATATTTGAAACCAGATTCAGGTCTACATCTACTGGAGACATAACAGAATCTCTGGCAGCAGAATCTTCCTCATCTGAATTGTTACTGGTAGTTTGGGATGAAAGGTCCTTATTCTAGAAGGTAAAGAAAATCAGAATTTTATCTCCTCAGCCTAAAGGGAAGTTACAATGAAAAGCTATAAGCAGCAATGTACGTATGAGGGGCCGGGGATTTAGCAGAGTGGTGCTGCTGCCTGCCTCACAAGCACAAGGTCCCAAATTTGATCCCTGGCACCAAAAAAAAAAAGAAAGAAAGAAAAATGACTATAAATTGAATTCTTTTCTTATTTTGAAATAGCCCAAATATCACTAGAATTAATGATAGTGTGCTTGACTTTTAAAAGAAACATAAAAAGAACATTAAAAAAAAAACCAAAACAAAAATCTAAAATTTCTTCTAAATGAAAGAAGCTAGGTTTCTTTTTCTCCCCCAATGACAAAGTTTAAGGTAAAAACTAAGGCTTTGTGGGGTCCAGTCACAAAGACTAAATTATTACTTGGCCTCTGATTTCACAGCTTGGGGAAAGGATCTGAAAGACTGTAACCTGACCTATAGACTTTTATATGACTGGACTCAAACTGCAGTCCATGGACCAGCAGTATCTGCATCCTTCTAGTCTTGCTAGAAACAGGAAATCTTAGGCTTCTCCTCAGACTTGCTCAATCACAATCTATATGGTAATAAGAGCCTTAAGTGATTTATATTCACAAAGAAATCTAAGATATGTTGCTTTAATCTAATGTGTGGTTTCTAATAGGGTTTGGCAATACTGAAGATGATGATGATTTTAAATGGGGTTTAGATGATGAAAGCAAGAAGAACATTAACCAGGAAGCCTATTATAGACAGACTTTACTATTGCCTCCTTTGGTCTCATTGTTAATTCTATGACAGGAGAATTACTGGCTAGTGGATACATTCACAGTGGATGGCTGAGTCAGATTTCAAACTGATCCTATGAAACTCTGGGGTCCATGTTCTTTGCATAATGTCTCTATCTAGAGATAGGCAGTGCTGGCCTAAAAAAACAGGATAAAGATGTGAATGGAAGATGAGTTCTAAATTTGGTTCTATATTAGGAAAATATACAAAATAAATCAGAGTGTTGAAATTATTTGTATATTGGAGGTAAAGTATTAACCTTTTCTTTTTCCTAGTGCTAAAGATTGAACCATAGGCCTCATTCATGCTAAACACATGTTACTACTGAGCTACACCCTAGCACTCCTCACACCTTTTTTAGTATTGGGGAATGAACTCAGGACCTTGCATTTGTGAGGCAAGAGCAGCATCACTGAGCTAAATCTCTGGAGTCACCGTGTTGCCCAGAATGGCCTTATACTCTTTGGCTCAAGTGATCTTCCAGCCTTAGCTTCCTGAGTAGCTAGAAATAGAGCAACTTTGTGCATATAATCATTTATCCTAAGGAAAAAAATTAGCTTTCTTGGGGCTGAGGACATAGCTTAATGGTAATCTGAGTTTACCATCCACAGGGCTATGAGTTCCATCCCCAGAACACATTAAAAAAAAAAAAAGAAATTAGCAATCTTATTTCAAAACTCAAAAATCAAAAGAAAAGAAAACCTAAGATAAAATACAACTTTAGCTATCCTATATGATAGAATGGAAAGGGAAAGAGGTTAAAAACACTCACCATTTGCTTCCTAGTGGTAAAACTTTTGCCAATGCTGGTGTGTGCCAGTTCTTGGTCCATTTGGGCCATGTATGACTTGAGGTTATCAAAAGTTCCTTTCAGAGAATCTTCTTCACCAGGTTCCTGCATCTTGAGGTCCAAGTCATCATCACTGTCTAAATATTCAGAGTCTTCTTCACTCAGATCATCAGAATCTGACTCCTGAACCTTTGGTCCTGTACAGATCCCAGTATAAGAGATACTTGTAAACTTTTTTGAGTGATTAAAAATGACCAATAGTCAGTCAAACTACTTCACAAATATCCCTTCAAGAGATAGTAATGCTCCGACATTTACAGGAAAATTCACATGCCGGCCTTCTGACTGAACTTTTTTTTTTTTAATTTTATTTTTGTTTTCTGTTTTTTTGAGACAGCATCTCACTAGGTAGTTGAGACTGACCTGGAGCTCACTATGTAGCTCAGGTTGGTTTTGAACTCATAGTGATCCTCCTGCCTCAGCCTCCCAAGTGCTGGGATTACAGGCATGCGCCAACCTGGCCAGCTGAACTTTTTTATTTAAAAGTGAATTCAGTTGTGGAATTAAAGCCAGGGGATTTTCCACTGACTATATCATCCCAAACCTAACCTTGTTTTTTTTTAAACAGGGTCTCATTAGATCACTAAATTGCTCAGGCTAGGCCCAAACTTGTGATTCTCTTGCCTCAGCCTCCCAGAACAGTAAAATTATAGGTATGTTCTACCATGCCTGGGGGTGTAGCTCAGTAGCAGAGCACTTGCCCAGCATGCACAAAGGCCTAGGTTTGACCCCCTATACAGGGGTGGGGAGAATTATATAATACATTTTTTTTTTTTTTGGTACCAGGGATCAAACTTGGGACCTTGCATTTACGAGGCAGGCAGTGGCAGAACCACTAAGTTAAATCCTGGGCCCCTGTTGTTGTTTTTTGAGATAAGGTCTCACTATTAAAGAGACAAGGTCTCACTATGTAGTTGAGACTGACCTGGAACTCATTATGTAGCCCAGGCTGGTCTTGAACTCACAGCAGTCCTCCTGCCTCAGCCTCCCGAGTGCTGGGATTACAGGAGTGTGCCATTATAGAGTTTTTTTTAAAGAATGTAATAGTAGGGCCCGGGATTTGGCTTAGTGGTTCTGCCATCTGCCTTTCAAGCACAAGGGCCCAAGTTCAATCCCTGGTACCAAAATAATAATAATGATGATGATGATGATGATGATGTAATAGCAAATGTTGTACATGTGCATATAAATGAATATTGTACTTTATGATGATCTCAAAGAAAAATGAAATTCTCAAGTCATTCATGATTATAAGTAAATCATTTTATCTACTAAAATGATTCTTTGAAATGTAGTTAACTCTGATAACAACTTTTAATAGTTTAATTTCTTAAATTAAAAATCAGTACTGCCTCACAAGCTCCTGAGTTCAATCCCCAGTACCAAAAAGAAAAAAAAATCATTAAAAATCTTTAATTAAAAAAAACCCTGATTATCAATCTTTAAAATGTTTCCAATAGGACAGGCAAAAATGTCTATATTTTTTATTAGGTATTTACTTGCTGGCTACAGTTAACTATTTCCAAACATTTATTGACAGTATTTCTTCCTCAGTGCTCTGCCTAATCATATCCTATGCTGATTTTTTAATTGGACTTTTGTCATTTTTAAATACTGATTTGGGTTTTCTTTTTTCTATAAAACAAAGTTAAAAAAACACTATTTTGGGAAAACTTATATAAGATATTTGAAAGACAAAGGACAGCATTAGTATACATGTATACAGTACGCCTGTGAATCAATAAGGAATTAGACAAATGACCTGCTCAAAAATGTGAAGAAGAAGAAGAAGAAGAAAAAGAAGAAGAAAAAAAAATGTGAAGAGAGGGCTGGGGATTTAGCGCAGAGGCACAGAGCTTGCCTGACAAGTGTGACGTCCTAAGATCGATCCCTGGTACCAAAAAAAAAAAGTGAAGAGAACATGATCAGACATTTCACAGAAAAAAATAAAAGTCCATAAATATTTGAAGCCATCTCAGCCTCATAAAATTAGAAAGCAATAAGATTTGTTTATATATATATATATGTATACATGTATATGCTATATACATGTATATCAGTATATAATGTAGAATATACTTTGAATGTACTTTATATGAAAACATAAAGGGAGAAAGTTAATTTAGTAGTATTTATTAACTTAAAAGTAGAGAGGCCTTTTGACACAGAAGTTGTATTTCTTGGAATCTATCTCTTGTATAAAAATGGGATCTCGCCAGGCGTGGTGGCGCATACCTCTAATCCCAGCACTTGGGAGGCTGAGGCAGGAGGATCAATGTGAGTTTGAGACTAGTCTGGGCTACATAGTGACTTCTAGGTCAGTCTCAACTACATAGTGAGACCCTGTCTCAAAAAGCCAAAAAAAAGGGGATCTCTGGGGTTGATTTGTAAATATAGTGTGAAAGGAAAAACAAAATACAATAAGGAGCCAAGGTCATACCCTGTCCACACATTCATTTCATTCATTCACTCAAATATGTGATGAACATCTACTTTGCCCGGCACTAAGATCGTTTTAAGATCATTCAATAGGGCAGTAAATAATGGTTGAAAGCAGTTCAAAACCACAAAGATAAAGCAGATTCTTTAACTTCGGCATGATGTAATGATCCAATGCTCTAACAAAAACAACCATACTCCTTACAGTTTCAAAATGAGAGTGAACATTACACTATGTGACTCACCTAAAATTTTATCCAAATAATTAAGAAAGGAATCTGTATCAAAAGTGATTGGCGCTTCAGAAGGTTCTCTGCAAATTAAAGGGAAAAGACAATTATTTATCCTGAATACGACTTTTTGAAACTTTTTTTCAAGTGGTGCTATTCATAGGAAAACTATCAGAACTATCTCAAAAGAGTAATAAATAGCAAGGAAAACTGTAGTTTAAATTTAAAAAAAAATCCTGTGCTTGCTTACCGGCCTTGCAGGGCAAGAGAAACAGAAAAGTCTGATAAAAGAAAAATAAAAATTGTACCTCATTTAGGCATATTTAGCGTATGCATTTAGGGGCCCACCCACACTGCTTATTCCTGTAAGAACCAAAACTTAAAAACTTCCCTTACTCCTTCTTTAAAAAGTAACTTTATATTTAATTTTTCCATGAAGCTCAAGCATCAACATTCATAGAAGA